CTCCAGGGGAGGGAGGGAGGTAATACGGGGGGAGTGGTAATGCCGAATAGCGAAGGATTCAGCGAGCATTGGAAATCATCCTGATTGATAATGGCATTCGGAGTTGGTAACATACTCATCTGTTTACAGATACTTACGACTCAAGACTATGACAGAATAAGGACAAGTGGACTAGATATTTAATTACATGATGTTCAAATCGTAAGACGTGGCATTCGTCCCCCCGCGGTCTTTGGTCTTTGGTCTTTGCAGTTGCTGTGATTGATGCTGTTGAAAAATAAAAAAGTTGATATCTCTGAATCAAGATGGTGTTTTGACCAATCCCGTGTCGAGAACAGGCTATGACAGATTCAGATTACATGTGGTTTATGAGTAAAAAAATAACAAAAAGATACGTACTCAGCCTCCACTGTCCGAGTCGCATCTCCCGTCCCTGGGGAAGCATCGCTAAGAAGAATGGACAGTACGTGGTGGATTTGGTAGGAGAGTCCGACAGATGCAACGAGATGTCTCTTTATTATGGATGGATATTATTATACAATAGGTGTTATATTGAAGTTATTGTTTAATCAGGTCTGAATGATTATTGACGACATATGAGAATGGCATCTAATCCCGATGCTCTTCTCTGCAGACAAGACTACTGACTCTGGATAGACATACTCTTGAGGTGGAATTGACCTCGCGTAATACTTCCAAAGGCAAAAGGCCCGATCTTCCATCCATTGCCAATCTTCACTCGTTGTTTCAAAGATCCTCCTCCTCCTCCTTCGCCTCACTCAACCAACCTCAACCTTACTTTCACTTTCGCTGTCTTTTCGAGAGCGCTTACACCGGGATCCGGCATCGGGCGTGGAATGGTCTGTGCTTGTTCTATTCCATGCATCGTGTCGCTTTGAGAGCTCCTATTGGATCTGTTGGATTAGCTTATTTCGTGCCTCACATCAAGTTCCCGCTCCTTGTCCTCTTGGGGTAATGCCGCTGGCACGTGAAATCGAAGGAGGAGGTTTCCTCTCGTGGTGGAAATTTTGAGCTCGAATCTCGACTTTTCATCTTTTGGTTTTGTATGTGATGGCACTGTCTATCCGCCATGAGTGCATTGTTGGTCCTCGGTCACATTGTAGAGAAAGAATGATAGTCAGACCGACATTTCAATCTATGCTGTAAACAATGAAAATAAGAAGAGAATGGTTGACAAGCAATTGACGGCATGACAACCCCATTGTTGTTGTTCACTCAGTCTGAAGCTTCCATCTCTTCATCAGAATTGGACAAATTCACAGAAATCTCTGTCTGTATGCTGCTACCCCTCTACACCGATAAGATAACGAACGAGCTTCTACCAATCATATCCTCAACTGGCCATCTGGGGAAGCCGTCTAGCCAATATCTGACTGGTCAGTCTACAGCAACCCCCTGTAATCAACTACAAAGAGGGCGTTGCCACTGTAGACATTTTGACTTACACTGAAGGCCAATAAACATCTATTCACATATGGATATCTAAGCCCTCCAACTGTTGTCACCAGCCAGTCGTGGATTCTGTCAATACCTGATGTATTCTGAGTACCTAGAAATTGAAGCGTCCCCTAAAACTGCCTGCTTCAATTTCCCGACAAGATATGACCTCCCATTGTCGACTGGAACATAAATCACCGGGACGTGTTCAAGAAGCTCTTTTCAACCTAGATGTGCAACGGTACTCAGTTTCGATGTATTTTCCTGGACAACATAGACAAGGAGAGTTTCTCGCGGCAGGGTGTAAATTGATCATTCTAAAGAGGTCCAGGAATGACAGGAGTGAGCCATTCGAGCTGAGAAATGTCTCTTGGCTCACTGAAATGAAAGGAGTAATAGATCTCGAATGATGCAGTCTCTTTAGTGTTTTCTCTGAAGGGAGTTGATGCACGTAAAGACGAGATGGCTTTGGATCGTGGAAACCCATGGTACTCAAGAGGAGGGTTAGGAGAGCCTGGCTGTACCTGGGCGGAAACGTTGTCAGTGTTTTTTCTAGCCGGCAATACATTAAGATAGGAGGACTCGCAATTGTGAGCATGTAAAGTCAAGATTCATTCCCTCTAGGCATTGCCCGGACTTTGGCAGAAAGGGAGGGAGATTCATTGGCCACTCGAGGAGGTGAAATCTCATCGCATCTGCGGTAGCGCCAACAACCCGTCGGGTCAGGCTGATAGAGATATTTTCTCGATTCTGTGGACTAAGATAGAGCGACTTGAACTTTCGAACGACCAAACAACTCGAAATATATGTGCCGTCCACTTCCTGTAGAGCTTCGTAACACGTATGATCTCTCCCGATGGGACTACTACTGTGCGCAGAATCTGGGCTCCATGACCAGTGAAGGCGAGTATAGACTTTTAAACTGTCAGTAGTGGTCAGTAAATTATGCTGGATCGACTTACAGGTGAGGGTTGGTTTTAAGTATGGTTCACATTGTTCTTAGAAGGAGAGGACAGCTTCAAGTTCGAACGAATAATCTGCACGCTGTATCATATAGAACCACAGAAATGTTGAAACAGTGACTCTTACAGGTAAATATTGGGGGTTATGCACTTCACATGTCAATTGATTTAGTTGGTGAGTTTAGAGCTGAGGTAGTGACTTTGAAAGCCCAGATGCAGCCTGAAAGTCGCCCCTGAAACGACTTACAGCGAGGCTGGCTCGAAGTGATGGTATGACAGAGGTTCTTAGTGAATAAGAAGACTAAATTCATCAGCATGTAACCGAAAGGTAAGCGAGTGTGATATGTAGCAAGTAAGTAACTAAACGTAGATACAGGCAAGGCAAGGCTCGGGCTGGTTTCCAGTGAATCCGAATGGATGAAGCAAGACATCCCACAGGCATAAATGATAGATGCGTCAACTCGGTATGTTAAAGCACCGGCAAACACTGCCATGGATCTACCTACTTTTTGAACAGGCCCTAAATGCTTTATAATTTCTCCCTATCGCTCTACTTCTCACTCCTCTCACCTTTCTCCTCCATCTTTTCTCTCGCATCACCGTCAACGCCGCAAAAACCTCACGAACCTCCCCAAAATGGGGTTGGAGTTCGAGAAGGGTAATGCCCAGAGGGACTCCTTGTTCTTTACGAAGCTATCCCCGGAGCTCAGACGGCAAATCTTCATCTATCTATTTGGAGAGTCAAAAGTGCACATCAAGTTTCTTCAAAGCAGTGAGCAGCTCAAGCGTGAGGGCCACCCCAAACATTCGAGGATCCCGGGCTGGTATCACTGCATTTGCAGGAAAGGGTCAAAGGTACCTATCCATCCACACTCAGAAGAAGACCACAAATGGTGTTTTCTGTCGGCGAACATTATGTTTACCTGCAAATGGGCGTGAGTATAATGCATCAGATATGATGATTGAGTTCAAGCTGGCAGACTGCAGCTATCAGAGCGGTCTTCCTCTGCTCTATCGTACGAACAGACTCATCCTCGATAATCCGCAGGATTACATAATGTTCAGCTCCTGGTTCAACGCCAAGCAGAAATATGTTCGGTCAATCAGCTTACAACTCGAATGCCCGGCCGTTTACGATGCCCACGAGAGCCTCTGCAACTTGTCCACTGCATTGCCTAGATCCTTGCTACTACAGCGCCTTGAAGTGCGAATGCTCCTTCCTTGTCTTGGAGCTCCCCAAGGGAACTTGAAGAAGGACTGCCAGATGATGTTGAAATGTCTTAGAATGTTTCTTCGGGGTGGTCTCAGCAAGGGCAAGGTTGAACTACTCGTGTTGCATCTGCCGGAAGCAATGAATGATACTGTGGAGTGCGATAAAGAAGTCGATGCTGCGCTTTGGGAGGATGTCGATTGCCGGATTGAAATCGATGATGGCCCTGAAGAAGAGGAGGAGGAGGGTGAGGAAGAAGACCCGGAGTCCGATGACGAGAACCATGGTCTCTATATCTTTCCCACACAAGGCGACTTCTGATGACATGAATCAACCAAAGCAGATGAGCGAAATCGTTATAATTTAACTTCTAAAGCTGTACACATGAGCCTCCATAGCCAAGCCATCCTTCTTTGATTTCTTGGATGGAGCCATTCAAGGTCACTGTTGACAATGCAATGGTTAATGTAATTTTGTACACCGACATTGGAACAAAGTGACGGTTCTAGCTCGAGCGTTTAACGATGTGACTGCGAAGGCCTTATTCAAAGGACCAAACCGTGTCAGACGTGAATTCAGCAGACGTGTCCCCTTATCCTTTGCCACAAACTGTTTATTAATGGACAATCCGGTTTCATTCACTGATCATAATCTTGATGCCTTGATTATGAGCTATTATGTATTGAATTTTATATTCTCCTCTTCTTCTCTTTTTCTCTTTCTCCTTATCCTTCTTTTCCTGGATCCCCTCAGAACCATCAACACTGGAAAGCCTCTTTGAGCAAACCTCAACTGTCAACTACCAAGTTAGACATCTGAAAAGGTATGTACTCTGATGAAGTAAAGAAGCTTAAGACAACTACTTATAGCCTAAGAAGTATCATCCAGCTTATGAAAGCTTAGCCAAACTTTTGTGTACCTTGGGAACAACTTGCATAAGTCTTTTCATTGAGTAAGACTAAGGTCTTCCTACCTTGATCATGCCATCGTCTCGGTTGCAGCAATATGGAGAGGCTCCCCAGAAGTCACTATTCTTCACCAAGCTCAATCCCGATATTAGGCAGCTTATCTACAGCGAGCTTCTCGGATCACCCAGTACCCATGTTCTTGTATTTTACGAACGAGGGATCCGTGGTGTCGAATGTCGAATGGAATATATGTATGGCGGAAAGATACATACCAACATACTCTTAACCTGTAAAGCGGCGTAAGCGTACTCTTATAAGTTTACATGGTGAATAGATCGACTGACTTGGACAGCTTCAACGAGGGAGCATACCTCTTTTATCAACTTAACACATTCTACTTCAACGCACCATCCGACGCCGTCGATTTCTTTGCGTACACCCCAACGGCGATAGTCCGCCACATTCGATCTTACCACTTTGAGTGCCTCCTTAAAGGTGGTGAACAGAAGCCCATCCCAGACTTTGATGTGCTGATTTCGACTCTGGGTCGTTGTCTTGTGCGTGACAATGTCAAGGTGGAGCTTGGCATTTTATTACCCCATCTTTCGATCTATCACTACATGCCCTTCACTCAGGCCTGCAAAGAAAACACTGTTGAAGCGCTATGGCGATTTCTCACACTTCCAAAGCTGAGTGCTGCTTTCGTCATCCTGCCTCGCGGCTTTGCGGAAGAGGTGCAGAAGATGCTAGAGACTTCGGGTCCTCACATATCGTTTCATTGCCGCAATAAACCGCCATATTTCAGTGGTTTTAGGGGGCTACCGTTTCATTGGCTTCACGTATACCGTCGGGGCCTTCTTCACTGTACTTCTTCCCACCCTCAAGCACATCAGTAACCCCATGAACGGCATTCTGCAGCCAGTATTGGGTTCCGTTCGGAGTTGCGAGGGTCTTAGCCACGACGCCATCTCCGACCAGGTATTTCTCATCCAGCGTCCCCAAGTACAGATCAAATATTGGGGTGTAGTCAGCTGAGCGCCATGCGATTGACGCACCACAGTCACCGCAGAAACCACGGAACCGGCCTGGCGAGGAAATGTACTCTTTGAATGACAGGAAAGTGTTTAGTGCTGGACTAATTTGCTTCGGGGATATGACAAGGAATTGGGCGACCAGGGAAGACGTCCATTTGCGACACATGGTACCTGTTTTATGTTTGCTAGTTATTATGGAGTCTCTTGATAGGAATAGACATACATTGGCATGCTGATGACTATTTGTAATGAGTTAGCTCAAGTGATTAGAGATAATCCAAGCACAACTCACAATTGGTGGCCATGGGTACTCTTCGTTAAAGTTGACGGTGTACCGAATAGCACCACAGAGACATCCGCCTGTGATAGCAGAAGGGGGATCCTGGTTGTTATTGTTCATGATGATCTTGTAGTGTGCGAAATGGATGATGTGGGAGTTAGAGTATATAACAGTCCAAGGCCATTGAGATGAAAACCGAAATGCCGTCGGTTTAGGCGTGTATGAGGATCCAGAACCGATTGGATGATATTCCCGTGCATCCAAGACAACCAATCATGGTTTGACATACACATGAAGGCGCTATACACACTCAACTCTGGTCCTACTTTCATAAGAGCGAGTGAACGGGGAAAAGTGTAGTTTACCCCCGGGATCTTGCACCCAGAGAACTGCCCAGCTATGGGTTGTATACCTATGTACATGGGGACTCAACCTTTCTTGGGTACCTTGCAACCTAGCCTGCTTCCAAGTACGGAGTACTGCTACTCGTCACTAGTTCTTCATCAACCTGACCATTGCTCTCACCATCAGTTGAAGCGTCGCCATCTTGTTCCTCCTCAGAAGACGTTTCATAGCGGCTCGGAGGCTTGTGAGGACACATGTTAAGCTTCAGTCCCGCCTCTAGCTTTTCCGACCGTATTCCCTTCACAAGTTCCGAGAAGCCATCCATGCCACAACCATGAAGCACACAAGTGACCCGCCCATTGCCAACAAGCGTCTCAAGTCCGGTTTTAATAGCCTGGCCCGCAAGTCTTTTGCTCTCAGCAGTGTGCCTATGCCAGGGCTCCCTGTTGCTCATATCAACATGAAAACGCAGCTTGAGATCTTGCCTCATCTTTGACAGAGTATGGCATAGTATTGTGAACTTGATGGGTTGTGGTCTTCCCGTCTTTTCAAGCTCGCTTCCATAGCAGACCAGATCGTTGAATTCGATCGATACTCGAGTATCGACGTGTGTGAGTAAATGATTCAGATCAGGAGCAATTTGATTTCTTTGAAACTCCATGAATGCACTCATAACTTCAAACTCGAAAGTATTTGACTGATAAAGAATCTTTATACCTTGCTCAAAGCTAGCAGCAGTATGGCCATTAGTAACAGTCGTAATGAGCACAAGATAGGTGGATGACTTACGCTCGCTTGCAAGTAAGAATGAACCCCGATGATAAATAATGTTTCCGGTATCCTTCTTCTTCTTCATAATGGAACGGTAGACATGACCCTCCGAAGCAATGAAAATGCGTCCATCGGAGGCTTGCCTTCTGCCCCCGAGCGTTGCCGTTTGGCTGCGGAGCGCATTCAATATGAAGTCTGCGTTTGCCAAACAAGTCGATAAAGATCATATCACGAATTTCTGGCGGGACATATCTGGAAAAAGGAGACTGGTTCTGCAGCGAGCAATCGGTGAATCTGATAGCCATTATGCTGTAACGAGTGGAATGAAAGTTGGCGTAGGAGAGTTAGACAAGGATATGGCTTACAGGGACGTGAGAGAAACGCTAGAAAATGAGAAGCGGGCAGCAAAGTCAACAGATATTAATAGCTTCAGGATACGGCCAGGATAACAGGCCAAATAATTTGCAGATCAATTAGTGGTTGGCTCAATATATATGTAACATCAACTTCTGCATGTTGGTTCAAGCAATGGTCCGCCGCCGCCATTTGTTGTGATTGGGTGTAATATGCCACCCGCCCTGTCTCTGATCTACAGCTTGCATTCAATTGCGCTTCATAGCATAGCCACACGAGCATCGAGGTTATCACGTTAAAAGAATGAATAGTCTGGGATCCTAGATAGAGTGACGAAGACGAACCGATTTCTATCCCCCTTCCGAAGCCTCTGATATCGAAGATTGGAACAAATTGTATCTCAATTATTTAACTAAATTTCTCTTGCAAGCATGAAGAATCTTAAGGACATCAATAAGGATCTACCTATCTAATGATCCAAAATTGTACACGCATCATTTGCCATGGCCCATAACGACCCCCAAACAATAAAACAGTTTGACCCTTCTATGATAATCCAGTGCGCATCGTGTGCAGCTATACAACACTCCCATTCTCCCTCGCATAATTCCATTGCTAATAGTGAAAACAATGACTTCTCAAGTCCTCTTACGAACGACATCCCGAACAATGTTCCTACACTCACTCGGTTCCTCAAAAACATGCCACGCTTCAACTGGTACATTCTTGAATGCCTTTTCAAATCTCTCCAGCTGGTTCTTCTCTTCAATGCCAATAGCAGCGACATCTGTGGCCTTGCGGATGAGTATCATCTTGACCCAGCCTGGGAATGTTCGATAGCTACAAGCGAATTAGTCAAGCGGTACTATATCAGTGCGGGCTACTTACATCTCGCCATATGCCTCGGGATCGGATTGTGTTGAATCACCGATGAGAATGAGTTTTCTCTTTGGTAGCCACGAGTGAATCTTCTTCATGCGGTCTGCCTTGTACTCCTCAGTTCCCATTGTCAGCGCCGACAACAAGCCTGCCACCGTGCGCCAGCTCGAATCTCGGAGGATCAATGTGCCTTGCGGGAAGTAGCGGTCTCTGAATTCTCGAAGAAGAGGGTACAGGTTGTACGGGGATGCTGAGAGGTAGAACCAAGGAGTATCGCGAGGGAGAAGAGTCTGAAGCTCTGAGTAAAGCTCGGGCATGCCAGGAACTGGTATTGGCTCGTCGACAAAGGTGGTCTTGAGGATGCCTAGTGGATCGCTGGTCAAGGTGACTTTGATGGTGTCGTCGACATCTGAGCCATGTTAGTCTGTATTGCTGATAACCCATAACTGAAGAAACATACCGGATATGATGGCCCAACCCTCAGGTCCAGCATAGTAAGTCTGCATGTCATGAAGGCCTTGAGTGCCTTGAGGTACCAACGCCGTAGCATCAACTACCGACCCCTTATGGGCGTGATGAAGAGGCTCAACGCTCGTGGTAATACCATTGATACTCGTCGGTCCCAACTTAATCTCCTTCTTCTTATGCTCGATCCAGAAAACTCTCGCTGCTTGAATATCCCAGAGGAACGGGATGATTCTCTTCTCGATAACGTCGCGCTCGGCCGCATCGTCCGCCAAACCCAATGTTGAAGCAATTCCAGACACTATATCCGCCACGCGACACTTAGGCTCGTTCTCGAATACTGCAGCGACAAACTCGGCCTCCCACTGGTCGGTCTCAGGGTTTCGGTACGCCGTGTTGTCCATCAACCACACTATATCACCAGCATCGACGGCTTTTCCGAAGGGGTTCCATTGTGCAAAGCGCGAGAGCCAGGCTGAGACATTGACAGGTGCTGAGAGAGCAGTAGCTTGTGTCTTTTGAAAAGCAGCGGATTTGGGATCGGGCAGATCGTGCTCGATCTTGTCAAAGTTTCGGGTCTTTCGAGTGCGCAGTTGCATATCGGCTGCGAAAGCGCTTGGATCAAAGTCTAGTTTGTCCGCCATCTTGGAATGCAATAACGAGCTAAAGATATATACTATAGGATGAGTTGCCTTGGGGAGGCAAATGAGGTCTCGTGCTGTATGAGTCCTAGGAGCAGCGAGGCAGTATCAGGAGCCGCAAGGTCTCGTGGATGTCTAGGTCAGGTTTCAGGGCGTGAAAGTGCAAAAAATAGGCAGCGAGACAATGTTTTATGTTTAAGGTACTCTCGAGGAGGCGGTCTCATGGATTACAAGAGATAAGAAGGTTCAAGGTCTCAGTCACAGGAGGAAAGCGCGTGTGTTAAGGACTTGCCAGCAGCTCAGGACTTGGTTCTAATATACGTGACCTCATATGAAGATCAAATCAATAGCGCAGGAAATTGTTTATAGAGGCTGCGACGTGCTTTGTTTAAGGTCTTGGACTTGTGACGTCGCTGCGTGATACTAGCGACGCCGATCTCCAAGGCTTGTGGGGGTGGAGATTTACCCGCGTGGGCGCTATTCCTAGAAGAATGACCCGTCTAAAGTCAAGATTGGACCGTTTGACTGTGGCTTGCAGTGGGCTGTGCTACAATTCTGTTAAAAACAGGAGTCGGGGGGCCTTGAAGTGTGTTCATGTTGGCATCATATTTACAGTTGACCTCTCGGATGTTGGATTTGCCAGGCGAGAGAGGACCCTTGTAGTGAGTGATCGATCGAGGTTACAGGGGTTAGATCAACTGCCGTATTACGTCACATCCTTAACTCGACCCGACTCAACTGTTGGATCACGAGATGGCCGTCCGATGTATGGCCAAGCCAGAACATGAACGGGCATTAAACTCTGCAGGTTAGAATTAACCTCTTTGGCGATCAACCAACTTTAACTTAATCTCTTCCCTACCGATCTTCCCGTTTCATGGTGTTCCGCCCGCCCGCTTCCCTGGTAGTAGATCCAGCATCGAGCCGGCGATCTCGGCGTTGTGAGAGCCCCTTGTTAGCCCCTCAAGGTTCGGCCCGTACGTCAAGAACAGACTTTGTAGTCACTGATAGGGCTCGTAGGGTTGTCAAATTCGTATTGGCACTTGTACGGTACGATAGCTTATACATATGGAGATGCTCGTTCTCCATCTTATCAACAAAGCGATTCTATCTACCTACTCCTAAACGCCATCCATCCTGTCTTTAATCATATATGCATTTCCATGTCTCTATCCACCGGGTATCAGTCAATACCAACGCAATGCAATGCAATATCAAAAGCAAACTGGAAACCAACTGATAATACACGCTTGCTTGAACTACCATCCCCCGTATAACCAACCCTTCTTCTTCTGTGTATTGAACAGCTCGTCTTTGATTTCTTGCACAACCGCTTGAACTGTGCCCTTCATGGCCCTTTCGCTTATCGTCAACGAGTCGTAGAATAAATGGTCGTTCTCAACGGCACAGTCAGCCGTGACCTTGTCCTGATCGATAGTGAGATCAGACATGTCAGCCTTGACACACGAAGTCCAGACATCAGCGAATCGCATCGTCGCGTTTGGTGACATTGTACCACGTCCTCGCAGGTCTACCACCGCGGCATGCTGCATCTCGCCCTCTGTCATCGCATCGAGAAGCACCTTTCCAATGTCCACCGCCAGCCCGTTACGCATGGGGTATGGAGCTTGGATAACACGCTCGTCCTCGTATGTCTTCTTCGCCGAGTCTTTTGTGTCTTCGCTGTGCTCAACTGGCTCAACACTCTCGGTTCTCTTGCTCTTGGTCTTGCTTGATGCCTTGTCCTCAGAAGCCGGCTTCTGGGGTTTCTTGGTCGATCTCTCAATCCACTCAGCAACTGCAAAATCCACCTCTTGATTCCAGTATTTGGTCAGTTCCGCGGCATTTCGGGTATGCTCTACCACGCTGTTGGGAGCTGGTGGCGCTTGTCGAGCTTGCCATGCCGGTGTCAAGGACACATCGAATATCATAGGCGCGATAATGCGAAAGCTCTCGAATTTACGTTTGTCGACACTATCTAGAGCGCCGGGTGCGGTCAGCTCTCTGATCTGGGTTTCGGTCGCATTCGTCCAAAAGTCTGAGTACGCGATGGAAGTTGGGTCTAGTGATCGCTCGTAGAGTATTTCGGCCTGGTCAAGGATAACCCTCGCCATATCTGTAATAATGTCTTCCGATTTTGTCCTTGGCATTGCGGCCATGTTCCAGATTTCCCAAGTGCCGAAGCTGAAGATCCAGAGCGTTTCGCGCGGGGGGACTTCAGGTGGCGGCATTGCGAGGAAGGTCTTCACTTGGCTGGCTAAGTCAGGGACTTTATCTGGAGTTGGGTACTGTTTGGAAATGAAGTTGTAGTCGAAAGCTGGCTTTTTCTTCACGTCTGTATGTTTTGTGATGTTGAGAAGATTCTTGACGCCTTTTTGATGGAGTTCGTTGCTGATGAGGCCCCTGTTTGGTCGGCCATCTGGTACAAATGAGAGATAAGAACCGCAGTTAAGCTAGTCATCGGTTAGCAAGTAGGTTCGATGTCACAATATCGAGCCTTGGCAACTAACCTCGTCACATAATTCTTCTGTCCATGTTTTGCGTCGGAGATCTTTGACATTACCCATGACATCAGGGGATCCAAACACCACGATCCGCAAATTGGATTCAGGTTCTGGCTCATGTCTACCCCAAGAAAATAATCCAGTGGAGCCGTTTCTGAGTTGTCCACCTGATAGTCGATTTGGTAATACGCCGAAAATCAGAAAGGTGGTGAAGAAGAGGGCAGCGATCTGAAGGATAAGTTTGGGCGCGCCGCGCCAAACACGAGTAGAGCAAAAGATGACAAGATTCTTTCCGCCGAGTCTACCCATGACAGAATCTTGACTGTCACGACGACTTGGTAGTTGATGATCGAGCTCTGCGGGTGATTTCCATCGTGCTTGAAACATGATGCGCTAGAGTCGAGCGAGTAGAAACGACTCATAAGAGAAAAAGGCACGGCGATTTCAAGTACTGATGTGGGCCATGGGCAAAATGTATATGTCGTATGGTGTTGATGTGGCTGAGAAATTGTAGATAGAAATAGGACAAGTCTAGAGCTAGAAAATGCAAATTCTATGCCGATGATCCGGTGGTGGACGCCCAATTCGTGGAAGTAGCCTCTCAAAGTGAGTGATTGAGTGCACGCTTTAAGAGGATTGTTGCCGGTGGGAAGCAGTGATTAACTTTGAGCGAGGCGTTTCGAAAGCAGGACGGGATGAGAAGCTAGAAACGGCTTTCAGGGGAGATGTTGTAGAGCCCGAGTAAAGGCTACCTTATGATAGGGCGTTATGCGAGGGTCAAGAGTCTAAGACGAGAGAGTTTGAGGTTGACAGGAGCAACACCTAGAACAGGCCGAGATGAGAGGCTATTGCGAAAATAAGGCTGCACTGTAAGGTAGGTAGTTGAATAAGACGAAATGATGGATAGAATTTTATGGGGGAATAAGCGATTGATTTATCAGGGATACCTTACGCCTCGGGGTCGATAAGTCTAACGGTTACGCTTCTACTTAAACTAAAACTGAGATAACAAGTGCAGTAAGTAACCTCCGATGAAATCGAGGCAACAGTCATTGCCAAGCCGAGTCTCATAACAACTTGTTGCGTGGCCAAGACCTCTCACAGACTTGGTATCGCGGGATGTGGTGAGCCTAAAGCGATTCAGGAAAGGGAGGACAAGGCAGAGACGAGAGATTAGAGGCATCCTTGTTTGGGAGGGTGGATTTCCATGTGGCCAAGAGAATGTATTAGCGAATCTCATCGAATTGAATTGTCTCTCCTGAATCTCTCGAGACGATTGAAGCCAGCAAGAAACGTCACGTCACGTCACGGTTACAGCGGGATCCGGCCGGCACGTCTGTACCCACATCCCGGTGCCGTCTTCCGGCCTCGTCATCCGTGGCAGCAACGTTGTTCTCCCACTTAACTACAACCCGTTGCTGTTTCTTTTGAATCTGGCCCCCTTCTTCACCTTTGTTAAGTTAAATTAGTCCCAAGAAATGCGTCGTCAGCAGTGGAGTCTGAGCCTCCTCCGCCCCCAGACCCAGTCCAGCCAAGTCAAAGTCAGGCTAGGGCCGAAGCCACGGGCGAGCACAGGCCAAGAATCTCAACTTCCAGAACCTGATGTGAGATCTATCTATTGTTGATGGTTTGTGGGGAAGTGAGTGATTGAGTGCAACTCAACCGTTGATCACTGAGTGATGTGCTGCAGGTTTGCTCCAGTGTTTGCTTCTCATGAGCCGCAACCGGTAATAACGCACGAGACAAACTTGATGTCCCCCAAGGTAACGATGCACCCGTTTGATCACCAACGGATATTGTATTACGCAAATACTCTACACAATCACTTTGTCTTCACGTCCTCTTTCATCAAGCATCAACCTCTTTTTCTTCATTATTCAGTGCCAAAATAACAAACTCTACGTCATAATTATTTCCCCACGTTCGGAGCACTCGGTTACGCCAGATGTAATTTAATGAGTGCCCAGCCTCTACCGCCTAGGTTTTACCAGTAATCGACTCATGATGAGGTCTGCCCAGGAATCCTACTGCCTACAAGTCTTGGAAGCCCCAGCAAAAGATCCAGTCTCTGTTGCACTGTCTACGGGAGGAAAGAAAACTCAGGACCGTGACCTAAAGTGATAAAAATATTAGGTAAATCTAGCCTAAACTTAGGGTATTATTTACAAAGTTTATTTTGACACATTATATCAAGGTTCGGTGTTTTCTTGCCCCTTGAGGACTGTTTAGATTAGATAGACAAAAGAAGTTGTATAATAATAACAACTTGCCCCAAGCTTTTCCCAAACACAAAACAAAGATATTTTCAAGCAGAGACCACGGGCCGAGCAAGCCATTGCCAAGAACCACCACATATCAAAATGGTCTAGAATAAACGGTCCTCTCCAACAACATTCCTCACATTAAACTATTGGATCTTTTATTTCCGCCCGTCAGTGAGAACTGAATGCCGTGATTCCGACGCCTTCAGCCATCGTACGTCCATATCATACACTGACC